TCTGGAACTGTAACTATATAGAACAGTGCTGTAACCACGCAACTCGGAATTTTGACAAGGATTGGAGAAAGCAACTTAGTGATGCTGCTTTATGAAGGAACAAGGCTAGATCTCCGGTGAGTCAAGATGTATGATCGAATCTCCTTACACCTGCTCCCCCCTGTCTACCTAGCAGGTAACAGGTACTAGGGTGTTAGCTTCGTTACATCTGTTGCCTCCATTCACCTAGAATATGTACTTAGGTGTCAGTTTTACTACAGTGAAAGCTGCTAGCTTACCTCAGCTCATATATCGACAAACACCCAAGGTACCTATTAATTACTAGATCAGGGGCAATAGGTCTAAGGAAACCTAACATCGGGAACCTGTTTCCTGCTGTGAGAAAGGACAATACATGTAAGGGGAGACTAGATACCCCGGTACATATTTATTGCTAGGTAAATATGGGCTGCAAATATAAGGAAACTAACACTTAGGTACCTATTAACTGACCCGTGAACAGAAACAGCAGGTGTAAGGAGTTGTTCCTTTACGCCCCGCCCAGCCCGGGAATCAAGCCCGGGAACCTTTTTGGTAGTGAGCCTGGGCGCTGTTTTGATCAAAGACTTTCGTACAATTTCGTTCAATGCAAGCTACAGTACATAGCCAGACGGTGGATCGAGCCTCCACGGCTTCCTGCACTGAATGGCCCACACAAATTTAGCGCTTCCCATAATAGTAATTAGTAACATTAATAGAAATAATAAAATAATTATTATTACTACTACTAATAATAATAAATTTTGGAAACATATTTTGAGTTAAAAACACTGAAAAGCATTAGTAAGGTTATTATCATAATTATAATTATATTATAATCATATTTGGGAAGCGTTAAATCCGAAGGGGTCATACAGTGCCTGGGAGGCAATAAGGTTTGATTCATGGGAGAGGGGAGTTAGTTCCAACTCCTTGGAACAAGAGCCCTTATTTCCCTCCCCCCTCCAGCGGGAAGGGCACCGCTCTCCCCTGAAGGAGATTCACCGGGACAAGAGCACCTTCCTACTACAGGAACATGGACTATCGCAGGGCATTAACTTCTGCAGGAGGAGGAGAATCAGTCCCTCAGCCTGGAGTCGATGTGTTCAGTCTATCAAAGACTGATGGACTAAGGGACTGATTACCCTCCTTCTGCAGGAGGAGGAGAATCAGTCCCTCAGCCTGGAGTCGATGTGTTCAGTCTATCAAAGACTGATGGACTAAGGGACTGATTACTACAACCTTCTGCACAAATGATGGGATCTGAACTCCACCGGGAGTCAGTTGATACTCTCCATAGGAGACACGTGGCACCTGGGATCTTGCAGATAATCTGCTTTGATCAAAGGTTATGAGTAACGTAGCCCCAACTCCTTGGATCAGGAGCACCACACCAACATCAGGGCATATTTACTGAAGGGAAGAGTTGCCTTGCTGGTTCATCTGTTGCTCTGAGTGGCAGCAGTCCTGCTTTGCCTGTTATATGTGCTGAGTGGCAGTAGTCCTGTCTTGCTGGTTCATCTGCTGCTCTGAGTGGCACCAGTCTTGCCTTCTTGGTCCATCTGCTGCCCTGAGTGACAGCAGTCCTGCCTTACTGGCCATCTGCTGCTCTGAGTGGCAGCAGTCCTGCCTTACTGGCCATCTGCTGCTCTGAGTGGCAGCAGTCCTGCTTTACTGGCCATCTGCTGCTCTGAGTGGCAGCAGTCCTGCCTTACTGGCCATCTGCTGCTCTGAGTGGCAGCAGTCCTGCCTTTCTGGCCACCTGCTGCTCTGAGTGGCAGCAGTCCTGCCTTACTGGCCATCTGCTGCTCTGAGCGGCAGCAGTCCTGCCTTACTGGCCATCTGCTGCTCTGAGTGGCAGCAGTCCTGCCTTACTGGCCATCTGCTGCTCTGAGTGGCAGCAGTCCTGCCTTACTGGCCATGCTGCTCTGAGTGGCAGCAGTCCTGCCTTTCTGGCCATCTGCTGCTCTGAGTGGCAGCAGTCCTGCTTTACTGGCCATCTGCTGCTCTGAGTGGCAGCAGTCCTGCCTTTCTGGCCATCTGCTGCTCTGAGTGGCAACAGTCCTGCCTTACTGGCCATCTGCTGCTCTGAGTGGCAGCAGTCCTGCCTTACTGGCTATCTGCTGCTCTGAGTGGCAGCAGTCCTGCCTTACTGGCCATCTGCTGCTCTGAGTGGCAGCAGTCCTGCCTTACTGGCCATCTGCTGACTGATGCAGCATCCTGCCTTACTGGCCATCTGCTGCTCTGAGTGCAGCGCCTCCTTTCTGGCCATCTGCTGCTCTGAGGGCAGCATCCTGCCTCACTGGCCATCTGCTGCTCTGAGTGGCAGCAGTCCTGCCTTCTGGCCATCTGCTGCTCTGATTGGCAGCAGTCCTGCCTTATGCCTCTGTTTCTCTGAGTGGCAGCAGTCCTGCTTACTGGCCATCTGCTGCTCTGAGTGGCAGCAGTCCTGCCTTCTTGGCCATCTGCTGCCTGAGTGCAGCAGTCCTGCTTTACTGGCCATCTGCTCTCTGAGTGGCAGCAGTCCTGCCTTTCTGGCCATCTGCTGCTCTGAGTGGCACAGTCCTGCCTTTACTGGCCATCTGCTGCTCTGATGGCAGCAGTCCTGCCTTACTGGCCATCTGCTGCTCTGAGTGGCAGCAGTCCTGCCTTACTGGCCATCTGCTGCTCTGAGTGGCAGCAGTCCTGCCTTACTGGCCATCTGCTGCTCTGAGTGGCAGCAGTCCTGCCTTACTGGCCATCTGCTGCTCTGAGTGGCAGCAGTCCTGCCTTACTGGCCATCTGCTGCTCTGAGTGGCAGCAGTCCTGCCTTACTGGCCATCTGCTGCTCTGAGTGGCAGCAGTCCTGCCTTACTGGCCATCTGCTGCTCTGAGTGGCAGCAGTCCTGCCTTTACTGGCCATCTGCTGCTGAGTGGCAGCAGTCCTGCCTTATCTGGCCATCTGCTGCTCTGAGTGGCAGCAGTCCTGCCTTTCTGGCCATCTGCTGCTCTGGTGGCAGCAGTCCTGCCTTACTGGCCATCTGCTGCTCTGAGTGGCAGCAGTCCTGCCTTACTGGCCATCTGCTGCTATGAGTGGCAGCAGTCCTGCCTTACTGGCCATCTGCTGCTCTTGAGTGGCAGCAGTCCTGCCTTTCTGGCCATCTGCTGCTCTGAGTGGCAGCAGTCCTGACTTACTGGCCATCTGCTGCTCTGAGTGGCAGCAGTCCTGCCTTACTGGCCATCTGCTGCTCTGAGTGGCAGCAGTCCTGCCTTTCTGGCCATCTGCTGCTCTGAGTGGCAGCAGTCCTGCCTTACTGGCCATCTGCTGCTCTGAGTGGCAGCAGTCCTGCCTTACTGGCCATACTGCTTCTCTGAGTGGCAGCAGTCCTGCCTTACTGGCCATCTGCTGCTCTGAGTGGCAGCAGTCCTGCCTTTCTGGCCATCTGCTGTTCTGAGTGGCAGCAGTCCTGCCTTTACTGGCCATCTGCTGCTCTGAGTGGCAGCAGTCCTGCCTTACTGGCCATCTGCTGCTCTGAGTGGCAGCAGTCCTGCCTTTCTGGCCATCTGCTGCTCTGAGTGGCAGCAGTCCTGCCTTACTGGCCATCTGCTGCTCTGAGTGGCAGCAGTCCTGCCTTTCTGGCCATCTGCTGCTCTGAGTGGCAGCAGTCCTGCCTTTCTGGCCATCTGCTGCTCTGAGTGGCAGCAGTCCTGCCTTTCTGGCCATCTGCTGCTCTGAGTGGCAGCAGTCCTGCCTTTCTGGCCATCTGCTGCTCTGAGTGGCAGCAGTCCTGCCTTACTGGCCATCTGCTGCTCTGAGTGGCAGCATCCTGCCTTTACTGGCCATCTGCTTCTCTGAGTGGCAGCAGTCCTGCCTTTCTGGCCATCTGCTGCTCTGAGTGGCAGCAGTCCTGCCTTACTGGCCATCTGCTGCTCTGGTGGCAGCAGTCCTGCCTTTCTGGCCATCTGCTGCTCTGAGTGGCAGCAGTCCTGCCTTTCTGGCCATCTGCTGCTCTGAGTGGCAGCAGTCCTGCCTTACTGGCCATCTGCTGCTCTGGGTGGCAGCAGTCCTGCCTTTCTGGCCATCTGCTGCTCTGAGTGGCAGCAATCCTGCCTTACTGGCCATCTGCTGATGTGATCGAGGTTCTTGACTACAAGTTCTGTACAGAGGAGAGAGAGCGAGAAAATCTCTTCACTGTACCTTGTGTACATTTCATAAATATTCCACAATAGTTCCAAAATCTTTTTTTTTTCACATAAACAATGAAATTCAAAATTTATTTACAAAAAAAAATCACATTTTTTTCTAATCAACACGCAAATCCTCCCAAAACAATATGCAAGGCAACTGTAGTTTCTATTTTTATTTGGTAACGTATTTAAATTATTGTAAATATTCGATTTATTGGACTTCTATGGGAGGGAGGGGGTGGCCAGTGGTTTCTTATTATAATCAGAACTAAGCGCTAAACCCACAAGGTGTGGCCGGATAGAAATAATACGGCTTTGCCGTGATGGTAGCAGTAAGTGGCAATTCTGTAAGCAACGCACTTTGTCGTTTCTCAATCAACTGGCTCAAACTTTGATTTTGCTCCTTGCTTGGATAATTTCTTAAATCGAGGTTCGTTAAATTGAAGCTTTACTGCTACTTTTACTTTAGCCGAGTTATAAAACGAAATTTTGAGGCGTGGAAAGGTTGTCCACTGCGTTCAATATGTCAAGATGGTAATGTTTTCACGGGGCACTTTATGCTTTAATATGAACGAGGGTATTACGTGTCCAACCTTACAAGTGCAGCAGTGCTAGAGGTAAACAGTGGAAGAGAAGAGCATCAGAAACAGATGGGGATAGCAAAGGGACACGAGAAGTGGGAGGGGGACGTGGAAAGGGACAGGGAAGGGTGTGAGGAATTTTGAGGTGCGTGGACATTCTCTTGGTCTCGAGCCGGACCACAAAATAAAGAGAAGAGTGGAGACGGTCAATCGGGCACGCAGGAGTGGACTTACTACAACGTTTTCTTTGGATCTTGCTAGCGGTGTGCCATGAACGGACTAGTGGAGGAAAAGAAAGCAGGCGGTTTAGTCTAGCACTCATGACCATCTGAGTTAACACTGGACTCTCTTATCTCTGTCATTATAGTAATGTATCGTGAATGATTCTTTAAAAAAATATATTATTGGGGACAAACATCTGTCCAGAAAAAAAAAAAGAATTATAAGAACAGAAGACTGAGCGAGTCGTGAACACAAGGAAGAAGAATAAGTCTTACAGAATCCTGGGAGTGTATCAACTTTGATCAAGCACAACAGAGGAATCTGTTCTCTCAGAGTAATAACTAGTAATGTAAAAATAGGTCTAGTTGCCTACTTACTGCATCTTTGTCGATATATTCAAGGTTGATATCTGGCCCAAATATTTCACGAATGATGTTATCAATGACCTCGTCCTCTTTCTTTGTGAGAGCTTCACCTTCCAGTTTGAGCGGAAGCATCTGCAGCATGTGTTTATTGTCCAGCTAGGGAAGGTTACAAAACCAGACTTTAACAATGGGTATTGATAGGAGGCCATTGTTATTGCTCTACTGTCTGTTCCCGTACTAAGTCTGCTCCTGCTATGAGAAGGTTACTAGTTCTAAGCCTGCTCCTGGTATCATAGTATGACTTATTTAAAGTGGCTGTCTGGTCCATTGGCTCACACAGGGAGACACATGAGTCTGTCTCATCATTCCATACTTTTGAGGGATACTGTCACATGTGCTCAATGGAAGATGAAGGTTTGAAACAAGCTGTGAGGCTGAGAATAGTACAATAATATTGGTGCGGATGTGTGTGTGTGAGAGAGATAGATAGATAGAGAGGGAGAGGGAGAGAGAGATGGCGAGAGAAAATAAGCGTGCAGGAGACATAAGAGATGATATTGAGCGAAGGTGCGGATATGAGAAACCACCTAATGATGAGGGGAGGGGGGTATTGAGGGTGAAGCACGATCTGACCTTCACTTAGCAGGGGGATACACGCCCAACACCAAGAACTCTGCCACACCAAGCGGTCGGGATACAGGGAGGAGGCAGAGAGGAAGTTGGATGGACCTGGGGCAGCAGCAGGGGGGGTCTACTACTCACACACTCGCCACTAAAAGTATCAATAATGACCTCTGGGACGAGAGAGGAGGCCATGTTGCGGGACCTCGATCGCAGCTGAGATTCTTTGGTGGAGGGTGGCTTGCCGTTGAGCAGGTCGCCGTGAGAGGTGTAGGAAATGCGTGAGGTGTGGGAAGTGTAGGAGTTGTGTCGGGAGCCCAGGTTTGTATACACGGGGACGATGATGGCACCATTCTCCTCACTCATGGGTGTGACCGCGGCGGAGTCGTCAGCGTAGGGCAGGTGCTCCTGAGCGTCCAGGTAGGTGGACAGCACCAGCGGCTTCTTGTCGCCAAAGCGCCGGCCATTAGTGGTCCGCCAGGTGAACTGATGGCTACCTCGGGAACCTCTCCGTAAGTTAAACGGGGAGCCTGGCAGACTAATGCTCGCCTGCAAGGAAGAACACAGCGGGGCTGTGAGGCCGGCGAGGCGAAGGAGTGAGCCACGCCGGCCCCATAACACCTACTGCTGCTGGGGATGACAACCTGTGGGCCACAACATTGATCTACCGCGCCTACGCCAACACCTGTGTACCTGCCATAGTGGCCACACGGCCCTCTGATCATCGGGAAACAATAATAGTGGGCAGTTGCTCAAGTATCCGCACGGGTGGGAGGGCTGCCCTCCTGCATCCATAGGGAGGTTGTCAGAAAGGAGACGCCCGCTCATCAGGCGACTTCATCATCTAAAATTATCTACAACTGTGTTAAAAAAAAAACATTAGAAGCAGTGATTTAAGCTGGTGCGGGAGCGTAGGCTGGTGCGGTACATCTAAAGTGTGGTTGTGGTGCGTGGGAGGAAGAGGTCGTGACCTGACCAGCCACACGGAAGCCGAGACACCACCAGAGGCACAAGAAGAGTAGTGACCAGAGAGAAGCAGGTTGAAGACGCATCCACATAGATAATATAGAAGGAAAGATTAGTTATGTTTAGCACATTACAAAGGACAAACATGGAAGTTGTCTACATCCAATATGGACCAACAGTGGACTATTATGTTAGTTGATGTTAGGTGAGTAAAGGGAGAGATGGAGCAAGCGACCCCCTGTGGAGACACGTCGCACCGCTAATGGACCATACAGTGAGCTATGCTATACACATACACATCCTTTAACGACATCCTACACTCTACATCTACACTCCTTGTACAACAATATTTTACGTCTATGCGCCATATACAATTCCCTACACTCTACTATAAAAAAAACTAGGCGACATTCTACACAACTACTCCCTACCCGCTCAACACTTTATTGTTCTTCTAATGAACCTTCTACACTAAATCTACAATCTGTTATTAAAAATCTCATTATATTGCTGCTTGTATATTCAAGGGAGTGGCACTCTACTCTGCATATCACTGTGGCCCACACATGACCCCCTCTACGTAGTGCCACACCCAGAATGTCACAACACTCTGTAAGTCTTCTAGTCTAACATCTCCAGGTTCACAAATCTAGCTCCACCAGGATGCTAATTACGTACTCAGTCTACAGAGTGAAGTTGGTAGACAATCTGGAACACTTTACTGACAGTCACCACCAGGATTATTAAGCTGTAATGCATCACTACGGATCACCAAGATGGCAATCACGTTCAACTTTTGACTGTCTTGGTCACCAGGCAAGTAATGACTGTCAGCAAAAGAGAATTGGCTACACGTTCCACCTAGAGCAGGTCAGCTGTCAGTTTACAACTCTGACCAGCTGACATAGTTGGTTGATTGACATGCCGCTAACACTGAAAAAAGTATCGGAGTCTTCTGATCCCCTTGAACATATATTTCAAGCTGAAGTTTATTTTTTAGAGACTTTTTATTATTTTCACAGAGAAGGACTTAACCCATAAGGATCATAATGAGACTGACAAATGAGAGGGTGTAAGGTAAGCAACTCTGATCCCAGAAAAAGCTAGAGTGCTTAAATTCCTTGAATCAACAGCTCTTTACTAACTTCAAGGCGGCACCACACTGAAGTAATATTTTATTTTAGAAACAGAAGACAAAGGAATGAGAAGATTCCGATATAGTTAAAAAAAAATGAACTCAAACTGCACTATATTTTTTGGTATTGTCTTCAGCACACCGGGGAAACATTCACGGGAAAGTGAAGTCAAACATTGTTTCTAAAGCACTGGAAGGAAGAGCAGCTCCACGCTACACAGTATTGCACAAACAATATTATGGGTATTAGCAGGGAACATCACCGTACAACATTCACTAAAACAGATCATAACAATCACTACTACAGGGCACAGTAGGAAAGAGTTCACAATGTAACATTCATTAGAGTTCAACAGTATTACAAATACTACTCCAGGGCATTGATGGAAGAATTTTCACAATAATAACATTCACTGAAAGAGAAGAATAATGAAATATAAACAAAAGAATACTTGAAGGAGAGCAAGTCCACCTGGAAGATAAGGTGTAAAGGTATTGGCGACATGCACGGCGTTATGTACCCCTTGCCTCACTCCACAAATATGGGGTCCGATACTTACCCGCACATCAATAAAGTAGTTGAGTTACCCTTATATTCTGACACGTTTTCATTGACTAACTCGTCCGTTTATTATGATTTTTTCGTATCTTTGAATACGGGGTCATATTTATGGCGTGGTGGGGTAGGTTGGGGAGTGACGGGTTCTGGCTGTGGGTCACTGGGTTAGTTGAGGAGTGGTAGGATGAGGAGAGATGGGATAGTGAAGTTTATTTGGCAGCTGTGGGGGTGAGGGGTTGCGTTGGGGGATTGGTTGGGGCAGTGGGGTGGGTTTGGAAGATGTGCGGGTCAGTTGGGGAGTGGTGGAGGGGATGAATGATGTTAGTGAAGTGGGTTGGGGAGTGTCGGGGGTTGGCTGGGGAGCAGCGAGGGTGGGTTTGGTGCTGCACGGGCGTGATGGGGTAATGCACGAAGTAACAGGAGTGACTGTCGACTGATCGAGACAATATTTGGCACTAAAAATTTAGCTCAACATCTGTCAAGGGGCTAGGCCCGAGTTGGTACCTCTTCCCTTCTCGCTTCAGTGTGACTTGTCAACGGTCCAAGACAGACCCGAACGTCATTACTTTTTTTTTAGGTTATCCTAGGAAATTTATACATACGTTACTCTGCAGAACAAGCCACATGGGGCTTGAAATCTTTAGCTCTAGATCATTCGTATTCTAGTGCGTTGTCAGGTGCTATGTAATGTTGCAAGACAGCAACAGCTAGGAGGGGAAATTCTCTGAGGCAAGGGAGGTATCAATAGCAGCCCACGACATGGGCTACCATTGATGCCTATATGACATGACACAGGCGTGACCCATGACATGGTAGGCTCAGGCAATCGCACAGCAGTCTTAAGGCAAGATTTTAATACTATATCTCGGGTTTATGATTAGTTTATCTAAAACAAGACAGAATACTTATGAACGATACTTAGCAGTTGGCCCTTGATGTAATACTTGTGAACGATACTTAGCATAGTTGGCCCTTGATGTAATACTTATGAACGATACTTAGCATAGTTGGCCCTTGATGTAATACTTGTGAACGATACTTAGCATAGTTGGCCCTTGATGTAATACTTGTGAACGATACTTAGCATAGTTGGCCCTTGATGTAATACTTGATGTAATACTTGTGAACAATGTTTGACAGAGATTTCGATACAATATGAATCAACAATATAGAGTAAAACTGAGGCTTGATATAACTCACATGAACAAAGTTCAATAAAGCTGGATCTTGATACAATACACAAGTACCAAGCATAACGCAACTTGAGATATAGCACAGTGCCCTAGTACCAAATGTACTGTAACTGATGTATGGTACAATACCCTAGTACCAAATGTACTGTAACTGAGATATGGTACAATACTCTAGTACCAAATGTACTATAAGTGAGCTATGGTACAATACACTAAGTACCAAAGCAATTTCTTGGGTTATCCAAGATAATTAACACTATGTATGATAACTGTTCTTATGTGTACCTGTACCTAAATAAACTTACACATTTACGTGCACAATACACGCGATATATTTTCTCCGGATATGACAGAAACAAAAATAAATTTCCCGGATTAAACTTTAAAGTTTCTAGATCCCGCACAAAAAAAAAAAAAAAAAACACTTATAATACCGAGACTTCGGCCAATTTTTCCAATAAAGAGAAGTTGTTTAGACTGAATCTCAATAAAAACATAAATGATGTTTTTTCATATATTTGAGGGCGGGTGGGGGGAGGAAGGGGGGGGGGGGAGCTGTGGTGTTTTGTTCGTTAGGAAGGGAAGGTAAACATTAAAAAAAAAAAACAGTCATTTAACTTAAGGAGATAATGGTAACGTATACTTACAAGGAGGCCATTTATAATTGTTATTAGAGACGTAAAGAATGTTAATTCATGAATTAGTGGATTCATATCCTGAATATTTGAGTTTTGAGAATGAATAATACAAACTTTGGGAATGAAAAATACATCTATTGCCTGAAAAAAATAACAAAAGGGATGGGCACATAAAATAAATTTTAGGAATAATACATCTATAATGGAAATAAAACACATTTTTAAAAGGAACAGATATACATTCTAGCTCTGAGTATAAGAATTCTAAGAGTATATATATATATATATATATATATATATATATATTATATATATATATTATAATATATTTATATATATATATATACACACACGCACGTGTGTATGTGTATTAATACCACAGTGAAAATGAACGGAAATACCTCAGCAATTTCATGTGTTTACAGGTACATGATCAGAAGAATTAACAGTCAAGGAAATTGTTGTAGGGTCCCAGGTGAGGCCACTCTGAGGGTCCCAGGTCAGGCCACTCTGAGGGTCCCAGGTGAGGCCACTCTGAGGGTCCCAGGTGAGGCCACTCTGAGGGTCCCAGGTGAGGCCACTCTGAGGGTCCCAGGTCAGGCCACTCTGAGGGTCCCAGGTGAGGCGACTCCGAGAAGTTTACGTCCAAGTGTATATACTGAGACTTTATTAATACCTCTGTTTTAGGTATTAAAGTATGCTTGACTGGTACTGAATAGGTTAACTGAACTTTAACGATCTTCAGTTGTCGATAGGTTTTAAACTTCATTAATAAACTTTAGCCGTGGCTCAACCCCACGTTCAAGTTTAATAAGGAAAAAGAAAGGAGAGCCGCAGCTGGCCTACTGGTCCATGCTAGGCAGGTTCAACTCAATATACTTTTGTGTAGTAGGACTAGTACACCAACTATGCAACCAATGAACAATTAATCAACTATCCACTCAACTGCCAAGCCTATAATACGAGTAACAAGATATCAACCAAATTAAAAAAATAAGGCAAGATAGTCAGATTTATAATTTCACTAAGATTACGAAGTATTTGAAACAACAGCTTAC